TGCTGATGTTTTTATTTCTGGGTCTTCAGCTCTTTTCCATTGGTCTGAATATCTGTCGTTATACCAGTACCACACTGTTTTGACTACTGTGGCCATATAGTACGTGCTAAAGCCAGGTAGAGCAAGCTCTTCCACTTTGTCCTTCTTTTTGAGGAGGTCTCTGCTAATTCTGGGCTTCTTGGGGGGAAGATATTCTTTAAAAATAAAATCACAAAACCCCTCTATAGCGAAATGATAAAACTTCATTAAAAATTACATTGACAAAGTTTCCAATCAGTTTGAGCCCACAGGAAGTCTGTTATTCAATGAAGATTTTACTGAATGCCTAGAATCTTTTAATCCTTTCAGCACTTTGCTAAATGTCATTAATACTATGCTTTGGAAGTTCTCTTTGTCTTTTTCACATGAATATTCAAAGGAAAACTTAAAACATATTATAACTATAATGTACATCATTTGCTTGATTTGCAAGATACCTATTACCCACTCTGAAATTGCAATACAGTTTCAATCTGTTTACTTAATGTGGCAGTGTTCTTCATTTCTTAAAATACAAAACAAAACAAATAAAACCCTTCTTATTAAATCATGGATGTATCTATGGGGAAGGTTAGTATAAAAGTCAGGAGCATGAGGTCTAGTCAGGAAGATCCAAATTAAAATTCTTGCCCCATCAGCTATGTCCTTGGGCCAGATACTTAATTTTCTAAACCTAACATTTCCCATTTTTTAAATTGGTATAATTATAATACTTACCCAATAAGGTTTTGAACAGTAAATGATAAACTGTACATCAGATAGGTATAGGTGGTTAATCAATATTAATTATTATCATTGTACATTTTCCATTCTTTTTTTTCTTGAATGATTAGACAATATATTCCAGAAATCAGGAAGAGGGAAATTTTCTCAATCTTATAATATGTATTGAGAATTTTTATGTACTCAGCACTATATAAGATGCTGTGATGCTCACTTTAGCAGCACATATACTGAAATTGGAATGACACACAGAAGATTGGCATGGCCCCTGTGCAAGGATGACATGCAAATTCATGAAGTGTTCCATATTTTTAAAAAATGTTGTGAGGAAAGTTACAGAACGTTCTGATTCTGTTCTCTGAGAACTTAAAACCTAGTTGAGGGCAAAAAATAGAAAGATAGCTGTCCTTTAGTCATCTTTGACTCATGGCGACCTTATATACAATAAAACAAAACATTGCCCAGTCCTGTGTCAGACTTATGATAATTGGCATGTTTGAGTTTGAGTCTCTCTACTGCAATGATTGGTCAATCCATTTCACCAGGAATATTTCGTTTTCTCACTGGCCCTCTACTTCACCAAACATGAAAACCTCCTCTACCAACTAAGTTTCTTGATGGTTTGTCCTGTTGTAATCCATAAGATTTTCAGAAGTCGATCCCCCAGACTTTTCTTCCTAATCTGTAGTCGGAAAGTTCTGCTGAAACCTGTCCACCGTGGTTGACCCTGTTTGTCTTTGAAATACCAACAGCATAGCTCTTAGCATGACAGCAGTATGCAAGCCTCCACAACAGGACACTCTGACAGTGGAGTGATGGGGATGAAAGATAAATTCATATAAATGACCTAAAGTTACATTGTTTTATAACTGTTGTTATATGTTTGCATTTAATTATATAAAAAGGGGAAAAAGTGAGTCAGTACTCCTTGAAGGATGGAACTTCGGTTCATGATAATAAAATCATTCTAGAATTACACATCAGGGTTCAAATCTTGGTGCTGTCATTTAAAATTAAAAAAAAAACTTTTATTGGGGGCTTTTACATCTCGTATAATCCATACATTCTTCCAATGTGTCAAGCACATTTGCACATATGCCGCCATCATCATTTTCAAAGCATTCTCTTCCCGCTTGAGCCCCTGATATCAGCTTCCCATTTCTTCCCCCATCCTCCCTCAAGAACCCTTGATAAGTTATAGATTATTTTTTCCATATCTTACATCTCCGTCACCCCTCACCCACTTTTCCATTATTTGTCCCCCTGGGAGGGGGTTATAGATTGATCCTTGTGATTGATTCCGCCTTTCTCTCCCCACCCTCCCCTAATCCTCCTGGTATCTCTACTCTCATTTTTGGCCCTGAGGGTTTTATCTATCCTGGATTCCCCACGTTGCGGGCTCGGTGCTGTCATTTATTAATTGTGTAATCTTGGGAAAGTTATCTAACCTCATTCTTGGTGGTGGTGTCGTTGGGTATTATTGAGTCGGTTCTGACTCAACCACATGAAACACTGTCTGGTCCTCCAACATTCTCAGAATTGTTATTTTTGAGTCCATTCTTGCAGCCACTTTATCAGTCTATCTCCTAGAGGGTCTTACCCTTTTTCACTTAACTTCTACTTTACTAAGTATGATGTGCTGTCTTTCTCCAGGGACTGCTCACTCCTAATTACATGTCCAAAATACTGGAGATGAAATCTCACCATCCTAACTTCTAAGGAGCATTTTGGATGTATTTCTTCCTAAACAGATTTGTTCATATTTCTGGAATATTTAATTTTCCTCACCAACACAAGGGGCAGTACAGGGTTGCTATGGAAACTGCATGCAAAATCCATGGACTCTAGCTTAATAAGTAGGAGCTATTACTTGATATATGAGTAAGTCAAAAAGTATTGCTACATTTCCAGTTCATGCATGCACACATTTATTCCAAATTGAACATGTTTACATATGTCTGGGTGAGGCTCCAGAAAATTTTCTCTGAGTTATATAAACTTGTCTTAGTCTAGTTAGAGTGCCTTAAAAAAGAATCCTTTTGTGCCATGGAAAATGATTTTCAGGTAAGACCAACAGCAAAATTTTAAACAAAATTCCAGGAGACATCTTCCCAAATCATTGAAGCTTTGCAATAACTTTTGCTGCCCTCCATAAACCAAAGGATTTTATTTGAATCAAGCCTCTAAAGTAAAGTTGAGAAGATCTCCAAGATGAGCACAGAAAGGGAAAATCATCACCCTTTACAAAAGTAGTGAAAGAAGACTGTAGAATTACTATTGATTTGACACTTTCCATTTTAAGTGAACATTGAAGTAAACATTGATCTCATCAGATTTTTCACTCAATAGTTCCTGATCTTGACCATTGAGACTTTTTTATATCCCCCAAACTCAAAGAACACTGAAAAAAAAAAACACAATTTGAGTCCCTGGAGGATGCTAAAACTACCTTTTTGATATGCCTTAAATATAAAAGTGAACGCAAAATTCTCCTGCAAAGTATTAGAGAGGTGGAAACACCACCTTTCTTCTATCTAGACCCAGACAGAAACTATGCAAGAAACAATAGCTTCACATTTTGATATTTTTGTTTAATAAAGACTTCTATTATTTTGCAGCAATATTTTTATTTACCCTGGTATCTTTGTTTCCTCCATAGGACAACACTGAAGTCAGCGAACTGTACAGAATATGTAATCAGCAAATGTTTACTGAGCTGAAAATTTAGCATTTGCTCTATATTTTCTTCTTCAGGCTATTTTATTCACTGATATTATATGCATCCTCATAGTAATCATTCAGGTGAAGTAAATTGGTGCACAATTTGTGGGCTGTCATTTTCTTAGAACCTAACTACTGTCTGGAAAAAATTCATGCATTCAAATTAACTGAAAGGTCATTGGTCTTCACTATTTTACTGATGAATATTCTAGCAGTTGATTCTAGCAAGAGCTAGTATAAATTTTTTCCTTGATCTCTACGGTGCTCTATGTGTATTATCTTATGCCAACTGCTCCGAGCTGGCAAATATTTTGCTTTCCCTATTAGACATTCTTGAGAAAAATAGCAAATTACAAAATTAATCAGTGAGTTGCCCATTAAGTAGATCAATGTCGGGTTACTCTGTCTGAGGAGCATTCAATTAATCAAAATGTGTCTTCCTGTGAACTAAAGAATATTCTAGATTTATCTTTGCAATGATTAAATCTAGGAGTTTCTTTCATTTCACAAATGTATATCTTTCATTTCATAACTGTGTGCAAATAATTTTGCTAGGGAATATGGGATAAAAAATATACAAGAGGTTTTTGGTTTTGTTTTTACCTTCAAAGGGTTTGCACTAAGTAAAGGTACATAAGCATAACATAAGGCAGAATAGTACATTAATTAAAAGGCCTCCAATGTGCTTTGCCAACACGAACATTGAAACGATTAATTTCTGTTGGAGAAACTATAAAACTTTGGAAAGAAATGCAATCTAATCTCCTGACACTAGGTGAAAGCTCCTTAAGTTTCACTGGCTACCAAAGTTAGTACATCTTCAGTTCACCTCAAATGGAATTATTCTCACTTATGTGAAGACTTTGCAAAGAAGGCTGGTCTTCAGTTCTGCTATAAAAACGTAGTAAAGACCAACTTTCTTAATCTTTTTTTTATCTCCCTTCCATTGGGCAGTTCTATGCTCTACAGCAGCGTTTCTCAATCTGGGGGTCGTGACCCCTCTGGGGGTTGAATGACCCTTTTACAGGGGCCGCCTGATTCATAACAGTAGCAAAATTACAGTTATGAAATAGCAACAAAGATAATTTCATGGTTGGGGGGTCACCACAATATGAAGAAATGCATTAAAGGGCCGCGGCATTAGGAAGGTTGAGAACCACTGCTCTATAGGAGCAGAAGCTACTCAATGGCAGGTTTGGGAGTTTATTTTATTCTCTTTAAGTGGAGCTTGTGTTTGTTGAAGGTAGCATATTATGAATTATCTCTTTGTTCCTGACATAAAGGCATCAAATTTATCAATAAGACATTTTTCATAAGAAGACATCAATACATGTTACTTTAAATATAAATATTTATGGAATATGCAAAAGTAAGCATATATAAAAGGGTTTTGTTTTATTGCTATAAAAATACACATAACATATTTACCATTTTATAAAGCTGCCCTTTAAATACTCCTTTTGGAGGATTTCTCTGGGAGATAGGTAAGTTAAACCTTCTTAAAATACATCCTTAATAAAGTTTTGACTAGAAACCTTCTTCTTTTTTCCTTCCTAGTAAATATCCCTTTTGGTAAACATAGACATCCATAATTAGGGTCATCTGTCTCAAATTTTTTTCTCCCTGCTGATTTCTTGTGGATAAATGCTTCTAAATTCCCTGAAAGCCAAATGCTAGTGGGAGGCAGTTTCCATGGCGACTTCTGAGTTCATATTGTTGTTTTTAGATACTGCAAATATGGGGATTGCTTGTAACTGTATAGCTCTTCCTGATGGTAAGAAAAATCACATTGTAGAGAGTGAGGAGAGTGTGGTCAGCCCAATTTTTCTAGGCCTCTTACTACTTTAGAATCTTTACATCTCTTTTGTCTATTTGTCTCACTTTACCATTCCATGTGGAATCAAGTCAGGCTGAATAGGTAACTCAGGTACACAAACAATACATCAGAGATATGCAGAAAGCATACACAATGGGATCAAGGGAAGGCTTTTCATCACATGAATGAAAGTTGATGCTGTTTTTAATTAAGCAGAAAATACATTAGTTATTTTCCTGGCAAACTCACTCTCTCTCTAACAAAACAATTTGCGTTCTTAGTGTAAGAGAAGGAAGAGGAAGCCATTGTTTCCTTCAAAGTCAGGGTTGTTTCTCTTTAACGCTATAATGGGAAAATTTATAGAGCAGTGTTACTAAGAGAATTAGAGTACACACAATATACTTATAGTAATACTTGTAGTAATAGCTTCATCTACATTAGGACAGATATATCCAAATAATATGCCTTATTATCCCCATGTAAAATTTTTTATTTAAATAGTTTTATTGAAGTTTAATTAATGTATTATATAATTCAATAGTTCAATCATATTAAGAAGAGTCGTGCAATCATCACCAGAATCAACTTTAGAACATTTTCTCCTTTCTTGTACGCATTGTGCTGACTAACCATATCTATTTAATCTCCCCTGTCATGCCTATAGGAAATTATTAATCCAGTTACTTTGTCTGTAGATTTACCTATCCTCTACTCCTTATACAGAAAGACATACAAAACAAATGCAAAAAAAGAACCCAGAAACAATGAACAAATAA